AGCGCGGGCCTGCGGACGGCGAGCATGGGTGGCTCCCCGTCCGACCAGAAACAGACCCGAGCGTACGGCGCGTCGCGTTCCGCGCGCGCTTCAAAGAGCCATCAGACCACCACAGATGGGGCCCAATAGGGCCGATGCCGATTCGGAGTCGCGGAGAACCTAACGGGTAACCGGGGCTCCGACTCGACGTGCAGGAGAAGGAACGGGGTGGTTTTTAGTCAGTAAGAGTCTGACACTCCCTCCCGCCTCACCCAGGCGGGAGCAGTCATTCGATGATTTTCCCCCCTTAAAAAAAAAGGTATATAAAAAGCTTACATTATGTACCCATAAGGTACATAAAAAACTTACATAGAAATTAAAAACATAGGTACAAAACAAATCTTAAGCAGGTAGTTTTCGCTGTAGCTGCTCAATTAAAAACGAGTACGTACTTGATAGTACTATAACAGAATAAACGTTACATTTTGCTTGGGTACTTATTATGCAGATTGCGCCGCGCCGTGAAGATGATCTGAAGTGGTTACTTACAGGGCAATTAGTACAAACAGCGTTCATCGGAGAAGTCGAGTGAAGTTGTTGTTATTCGATCATTTCTTTATGCAATCTCCTGCCGAGTAATTAAAATGGGTATTTGTACTTTTATTATTTTAAAGGATATAATTGGTTGTCTCGTGGGGTTATTCTAGATAAAATTTCACTGTATGTGCAATAAAATTATTCTTATTCTTATAATAAAGTTTAATAAATAAATAAGACAAACAGGTATTAGGTACTGTATTGTCACGACTTTAGGTCATCGCATATTCAAAACCCTCGGCACGGGGCGTTATTTCGAATATTTCTACTACCAGCCGCCAGCGCAGCGCGCTGGCGTAAGCGCGCTGCTGGCGCGCCGGCCATGAGTTCTAAGAGCGCTGTTGGCGCGCCGGCCGTGAGTTGTAAGAGCGCTGCTGGCGCGCCGGCCGTGAGTTGTAAGAGCGCTGCCGGCGCGCCGGCCGTGAGTTGTAAGAGCGCTGCCGGCGCGCCGGCCGTGACGTGGAAGCTTTTTGTCACAACAAGTAAAGTCAATAATACCTAACCTATGCGACGTTGGTTCGCTGGCGCCTACTGCGCCTAGTGGGCAACTCGACTACACCTCGAGTGGACGTCTCGTTGACCACCCGCCGTCGGCTTTTTGATTTGACGTTATGAAATATATCATACGACATATGATTTTAAGTTTATATTTATATGGCAACTTAATTGCTGGATTGGAGGCGTGGTTATTAGATGTGCGATGTCCTTTATACAATTTTATCAAAACATCTGCATTTGCCTTAATTGTTACGGACAACGGTACACACACTAAAACCATTAGGTACCTACTCAGGTGTCCCATACAAATAAATGTAACTACTATTTCGTAAAATAATCGTCCAAAGAGTTGGACAGTGGTTACCTAATGTGTTGTAGCAAAGCATATCCAGATTCATTGTACTGACAACTACACGCTGCAATACACACTTTTTATTTTCTGCCTTTGTGTTCGTTTCGAGAAAGACTATCAAGTTCCCTCATTCGCCTTATTTTCATCATTGAGTAGGTTTTATATGTAGATTTTAGACTTATTATTTTTATCTCTTTTGTTTATTCTGCATTGAATATACTCTGAAACTAGTGGACCAAAATATAAAGTTACTATTTGAAAATTTATTTTGTTGTGCTGCCCGGCCCATTAGTGCCATGCTTCGGCACTAATGGGCCGGACCGGAGTGATACCACGGCCTCACAGAAAACCGACGTGAAGCAACGCTTGCGTTGTGTTGTCGTCGTGTGAGTGAGGTTACCAGAGACCCAGCTACCCTCTCCCCTTCCCCAATCTCCCCAATCCCGAACAATCCTCAAACTCCTAATCCCCAAAAGGCCGGTAACGCACTTGTAACACTTCTGGTGTTCCAGGTGTCCATGGGCGACGCTGATTGCTTACTATTCTCCGTCTGCTCGTTTACCAGCTTATTCCATAAAAAAGTATACTTTTCATAGAGTAGGTAGCATAACTAAGGTCATGGGTTCATTTTTATCCCGATATTCTATATCCATACTTATACATACTGTTCTATTTCACCTGGACGAAGCGAAGCGGAAATCTAAGTAAAATACTCGAGTTATTATTAATTGATTAATTAATTGATTGATCTTACATTAATCGATTCTATTTTTGACCAGGGTTCAATACTACTAGAGCAGATACAGTTCATTTCAGCGACTTCATAGAAACAATATAGATTATTATTATTATAGAATTAATATAGAATAATAATCTATATTACATTGTCAATAGTGAAAAAATATTAAAAACACACTACGGGCGCTACGACAATGAATTTCGAGATTGCGAAACCAAGTTTTTTTTATAATATTTCATATAACATGAAAATCAATCAATTGCTTCTTTGACGAGTAGTGAAAACACTTACCAATGTCCTCAAAATATTGTACATCCAAATTATCTACAAAATAATCACAATTTCATTAATTGATTTTATGACCAACATAATTTTAGTATTTGATGTTAAAAAATGTGACGTCACAATACCCAATCTCTTACAAAATTCGTAGAAAACTGTCGTTTTAGATATTCCAAAAAAATATGTTGAATTTGACTAGATGGCAAGTACCCAGTTACTGGACGGTCACGACCTGTTGATAATTCATATTTGTCAAATATGTAAGTTCTTGCAGTAAGCCGAAATATAGCGATGTCAAAATTGAAAATACCTCACGTGCAGTGTCGCAAGTAAAACAATGCACACCATTGTGTTGTAGCTATAGCTACACAGCTGGCAGGATATTTCCATCATCGCATGGTCTGTCACGTCTTTCTAGATCGTAAGATATTGTTTCATAATTATTGTCTACTAGAAGCCTATCTTACCTTTATATAGGTAGGTATGTATCCCTATCCCACTTTTTTCGATCTGTATCTGAGTATTATTGTTCTAATTACGCAAAGGTGGACTTTACCTACTTAAGTACATACATAGGCACATTCTTAATTCCTAACGCAATTTTTTTCTAACATTGGTTATTTGGTTAAAATCTACGCAAGTAAACCTACCTATGTTAAAATAAGCCTATACATCAAACCACCGATCGACATTGTAACAAACTTTCCGATTTAGGTCGTCACCTGTAGTCTATAGTTTGAATGAATAGAAGACCTAGTACAGTGTTTATTGAGCTGAAAACGTTTAGCTACCGATTATTGAACAAGAAAACTTTATAGTTGGCTCTAGTCGCAAGAGTCTCAAATAAGATATGAGGTACCTACCAACGCTATACAAAGATTTTCCATTTAGAAACTCACAGTAATAAATAAATACTCAGTATGAAATGTAACACGGAATGGAACCCTCAGTATGCGCTTAGTATGTATGTGTGTGTGTATCGTACGCCAGTAAAAGAGGCTTAGGTATTTATAACGCTGGTTCCACAGTTTCAGCGTAAATATGATAGAAATGTATTTTAGCAAGGAATTGTGACGGACTGTGTGTAGGTACTTGTCTACTGCACGACTTGGGAAATAGAAAATTATTCTCAAAACGTTGCTTCATATTGTACAGCACTCTGCTTAGTATCAATCTATTTTTGGCGAATATAAAACGTGACAGTACCTAATAATTATTATAGATATAAATATTGCCGTGGTAATATCTGACTGCATGGTTGGTGCGATGGCTGGGAAACCGGCTGCCATGCAGCGTGCCGCGAGTTCGATTCCTGCACGGAACAACACTTAGTGTGATCTACAAATTATTGTTTCGGGTCTGGGTGTCATGTGTATGTGAATTTGTATGTTTGTAAACGCACCCGCCACGACACAGAAGAAAATCTTAGAGTGGGGCACCGTTTAAAAAAATATGCTTATTTCTTATTTTCCCATCAACAAACCAGAAGGTCCTAGTCCTAATGATATTGTCATTCAGTTAAAATCTTCTTGTGCCCAATTTATTTTCTTTCCTTCATTTATTAGGTATAGTGGGAGGGTAAAGCTCATCCTACGTCTAATAAGAACGCCTCCAACCTAGCAATTAAGTCATCATATAAATGTGAACTTTATATCGTATGTCATATGAAATACTTCATAACGTGAATATCATTTTTTTTTTTTGTATTTTTTCCAAAGCAAAATCCGTGCCGAGCCGTACTTACTAAGTGTGCAATGACCTTAAGACGTCGATAGCGTACCTACCTACTCCTAATTCTACTTCAATTCCTTCTACAACTTCAGCCAAATGTTACTGAAGTTATAGAAGGATCAAACATCATTATACTTACACTACAGCATTCTTACGGAAAAACGAATTCGACTGCGAAATATGAAACGAACTTGACACCGTCGGTTCGACTTTAGTTCTTGGCACCACTTTACCACAGAGGCCCAATAAGCATTACTTACCTATTACCTAATTTAAGGCGATGATCTGTTTTCTGGGTTCAGGAAATATTGGTAAATATACCTATTTGGGTATTTATTATGTTATAATTAACATTATGTATATATACGTACGTACATATTATGTACGTTTTGGGAACTGAGTTTCGGGAAAAAGTTGGTTACGGATTCTTACTTTTGTACCGACATTTAATTGTAAAATTTAGATTTTCTACCCATTCTTCCTATCAATTTTTATTCATCATTCTGTGTACTGAAATACTATGTACATACCTACAAAAGAAAAATAATATGTTATTAAGCTTCGCATTTCATCCCTAGCGCCATCTATTATCCATTGGATGAACTTTACATTAGTCAATTCTCTGTACACCAAATCAGATTCACATTCATGACAATAATTCTATTAAAATATTCAAGTGCATTAGTTCATATCGTTTTTTTCAATGGTTTTATTAATTCATATAATATGTTATTTTGCAAAAAGGCATGAAGCGGAGGTAAAAGAATCAATTTACTTGACTTTGACGTTTCTACGTCATCATCGGCAACGTCATATCGAAACGTCGTCCGCGAACGGATGAAATGACGAATTCAACAAGCAGTCTATGTTGGCAGGTTACTCAAAATTTCTCTATGCTTTTGATGTTGTGTAAATGATAAAAATATATTTTTCACAATTAGGTATTTACAATAATATAGCTTTAAAAATAGGATAAGTTCAAGTGAACAACCAGAATCATGGCTCCGGTAAGTTCGTTTCTTTCGCATGATCAAGCAATTTTTATTTCAAAATAACTTATAAATATTCAATAATTTTTTACAATTTGTAGGTTAAATTCGTAATGGTATTGATATCACTCTTTTCACATTATTAAATTGCTGTTGTTGCACTACATTTCACTTAAATAATAGGACTATACTTACCGCTTTTAATATGAAGCGTGAGTCTCACGTTCGGACTTCCTTTCGAGTTATGGATGCTTTTACTACACAAATTTTCATAAACGCGTGCTACCCGGACCCTGAACTACAATTTGTGGAACACAAAGGATATTTTCGTATGGTAAACCCTTTACACAGCAACAAAATTGTAATAAAATGAAAATCAATCTGTTCCAGCAAAAAGGAAAAGCTCCCACAAAAGGAGCTAAACAAATCTTACTGGAGAACTCGGTGACTCTTAATTTTTATCGCAACATGTCACTGGTAGCCATTGCTGCTTATGGAGTAGTCACTACCTGCCTTTATTTAGAAGACTTGACTACTGGAGTTATTGTAAGTTGTATTATCACTACTATCAAAATTTCAAATTCTATTGGGTTGTATTTGGATTTAAAATTAGAATCATGGTACAGGGTTGTAATCACTGGTTACCATTTCTTTTCAGGTCATGAATATACTGGTATTGTTAATTTATGGTGGTTGTTATCAAATGATGAAATATATTAGCCGGCCAACATACACTGACACTCAGCTCCTGGATCCAGGTTTGGACCTGAACATGGAAGGTGGGATGGGCGAGTAAGTATTGTTTTGTTAGCTGTTGCCTGCTCTGCAATTGATAGTAACTGCATTAAAATATTGTTAGTCAATTATTGTGATCACAAAACCTACTCAGTACAAGTATGTTACCATAATGAATGTCTTACCAGACTTGTTATTTGTTAGAGCACAACAAGAGCCCCAAAAATATAGAACAAAACAAAATAACTAGTGATAGTGTATAATTAAGGGTATTTTTATTTATTTAGTGTTTTTCTTCTTTGTATATTCACTTTTTCAGTTGTATATATTTGTTCATTAGTGTCAGGTTTCTAATTTTTAATTTGAATGAAATTGCTAGTTGAAAATTTAAAAAATACTAGTTATCCAATATTTACTTTTCGCTGCACAGAATGTTAACCATTTCAAAAACAGACTTGACAGATACCCGACATCGAATTAACCACTAATAGAAAAATACATTATATTAACATTTGTCAGTTGTCTCAACTGCTTGCCTGAATTAAATAATCTATCGAAAAAGATTTTATTTAACACTACAGTAAAATTGTACGCCTTGATCTTTCATCAGTTTATAAAATTAAATAATGTAATCATTAACAGGTATTCACATGTTGCATACAACCGCTCCCACCTGTTGCTTCATTCAAAACACATTTCAATTTGGCACTATATAAATTATTCCCGTTAACTTACTACTGTTACAATTAATGCTGTTTGATTATATTATTTGAGTTACTCGAAACTCCCAGTCAGAAACTTGCTGTGTGCTTAGCGAATGTATTAGGTATGTGTAAAACTGTGATGGTTGCAAAATACACAATAGGAACTTGTTGATTTTGTTTTGTTAGCTTTTAATTTTGGCTTTAGCATGCGATTTTTTGCGCCTTTCCTGTCTATGCTGTGACTTTGGGGATTCTTAGACCCTTCAACCCTAACATGATTAAGAAATTATCTAGTTATTTAAGAAGTTGTGAGGAGTCTTATGTTTCCAATATAAAGTGGTTGTGCTCTTGATTTAGTAATATCATAGAAGATACTTATTAATATTTGACAACAATTGTCGTTAGAACACCTAATTGATTCTTTACTTACAATAATGGATGATCTTGGTCACCTGAATAGATAATTACACCTTTTCAAGATGTAATTTAAATGTAATTGTGAATTTAAATAGTATTCAAAATGATTGTTAAAATTTGGGGAATATGGCATGCCATGTTTTCGACATCATGTGCTAGCATTAATATATGTGTGTGGCTTGTAAATACAAAAGTGGTAACATGTATTTATTATATTTTTCCAGGCACGTTAAGGACATAGTGATACTCTCGTCGTTGACTCATGTTCTCAGCATTTTGTCCAACTATTTCTGGTTCTTGCTGTTACTCGTACCCCTGAGGGCATTCTGGCTGCTGTGGAAGAATGTGCTTGGACCATGGTTCTTCCAAGAAGCTCCTGAAGACACTGAACAAGATGAAAAGAAGAAGAAGAAGATGGAGAGGAAAATGAAAAGGTATCAACAGTAGCACCGCCTAAACGCTTCTGCACGTGACGCTATCGCCGCTCTGCCCTCACCTCGTCACTTGTTCACTAAGGGCTGAATGTTAATGATACTTAAGGATCAATTTCTGTCAATAATGTCAGTAATTTTTGGTAATAACGATTCAACTGATAAATGGATGATATTTGAACTTTTGTCCAAGTCATACTCCTTCATTAAAGAATATATTATGAATAGTCGAACGTTGCAAGCATCTTAAACAATCTATTGGCTTAATCAGTCCCTGTTGTTTAATGTTGTCAATAAATACCATTAAATTGTTCCATGTAGGAAACTAAAACAAGATAAAATAATTAAGTTCTAAATTGATCCTTAAGTCTATATGCGGAGTCGGCGCCGTTGTGTGGAGCCCTTGAATGGTAGGTATCAAGAAACCGTATAAATGTTGAGTTATTTAACAGATCACATTGTTAATTAGTGTAGAAATGTTTATAGCTGACAATAGTTTACCGTTATTTATATATTCAGTTATATAATATTCAAACACAAGTTATGACATAGATATATTGCTATAAATATATTATAACTTCTATAAAGGGATATGTATTTTAATAGACCAAATATTTATATTTTTGCTATATAATACAATGCCAGTACAGTACAATATATATTTACTGACTATTTGTGTGTGCACCACTTTATACCAGTGTTGTGCACAAGTTGTAACATAACATGAGTTGATGATAAATAATATTGACTGTCTTTTTAAATGTCTATAAATAATTATACATATTGTTGATGTAATTAACCGCCCCATTATTTATTGACGGTAACTGCCATTTATTAGTCTACAACACTATTTTATATATTGTTAATTGTAACAGACAACAATTTTTGTACTTTTGCAGATATTTATATTGGTCGTGCACAGCTAGAATATTATTTATATATACATATACATTTTTAATGTAACACAGTTTTCTGTGATGCAATAAATACATATTATTCAAATCAATATACTAAAGGAAAGATATACGCAATAGCTAAATGTAACATACATATATAACTGTGTTCGATAGTTAAATAGTTGAAAGTTACTATACCCAGCCATCTCCTGTTGTGGGTGCAAGTTTTTGTACAACCAAGTTAAGTTTTTACACCTTACATTAACTTCTGAAATCATATTTCGTATATAAAATGTCTATTTTAATGAACTCCTGGTGTCGGCATTCAGTTATGTACTTGTTATACTTGCTCAGACTCGCAGTATCAATTAATTTGTTATAGTTCAATTCATGTACTTCTCACTCTAGTTAAATGTTAATATTAATATTTTGTAAACTTATCAGGGCAGAGTATATTAAAATAATAGTCAATTGTTCACATTTCAAATCTGTTAGAATTATTATCTGGTAACTGAATTAGGTAACTTTAGTCCAATAGATTGTGTTTGTAAGTAATTGTTTTGGTGCCTTTGATCAGTTTATGAAATTAGATCTATTTTGGTAATATGTTACAGTAGGTACAATAACCATATAGTATAGAATTAGTATACCTTTGTTTATAATAGGGATGATGACTAAAATATTGTCTATACATCAGATAGGATATAAACATCTTAGACATGTATTTTTTCACGTTATCAAGAAATGTTTGCAATACATTCAATCGAAATATGATCACGTTCTGCCTCTGTACATTGGGTACTTGGGTACGGCGTAGTTTGCACTGCCACTACCTAACCATAATGCGCTTTATTTAATTAAGTAGTTAATAATCAAGTCAATCATCCGAAAAATACGTGTCTAACGCCATCCACATTGAACTGTCTGATGGAGACCTTGGATAGTAAATAAAATGTGTTTATATGGTCCCCTGGTCGTCATCCCTGTTGCTGTGGTTACTTGTTAGTGATGTAATTCTATAAAGCAATACGTGAAATATCGAAACTTGGTTAACAGAGTTAAATTATACACAAGCATGGTACTTACTAAAGTAAAGATTAGTATATTAATAAGACTTATCACCTTATAACTGTACCTATATGACAGTGAATAGAATTGTAATTAGATTTCTGTTAAAATCATGTTGATATGTAGAACTGCTAGAGGAAACAACGTTGTTTATTTTGTACAGTCGACAATGTTTGGTTGACCATTTTATAACGGAATAAATTGTTATTTTTATTATACCAGATAATAAATATATACTTATCTAACTGTACTTACAGACAAAACTATCATACAGTGCCTGTTCCGGCACATAATAATATGTTATTGCAAAAGACAGGTGGTAAGTGGTCAAACACACATTGTTGGATGTACGTAATGGTTCGTCTTAGTCTGATTTAGTAAACAATGAAGTTATAAAATAATTACGCTTTACGATCAGAACTATGTGCTAAGTCACGTTAGTTAGCGGGCTTCAGCGATGTTGCAAGATACCTTAAGTAGATCAGCAAAATATAGACAAGTGAAGTGTTAATGTATTGATAAATCCGGTACAAATATGTCACCGAATCCAAAGTTCTAATATTGATGCCTAAATTGTCTATGTAACAAAAAAAACGTATAAAAATAATTATAATAAAGTTGATTGGCAGCTTTGGACATAAAACAAGTCCGGGGATAAACTTTGGTACATGATTTTGGTTTTTTCACTAGCGATGTAAGAAGTTGAAAAGAGTGTTATAAAATTCGAAAAATGGTTATGAACTCAGGATCAATTATGAATGAAAAATGAACGATAAATGATCTAATAAGGTTAAATTCTCATCCATAGTCCAGCTGGTATATAGCGCAATGCGCGGTGACAAGACTAGATGTACTAATCCACGCACATATGACATAATATTTACACAAGTGGAGGCAAGTCCTCGGACTCCACACTCGTTCAAATCTACTGGTGCCTTAGAGTGTTTCACAAATCTTCCAAACATATAACAAAAATAGTGTAATAAGTAGATAGTAAACCAGAGACACATCAATGCTTAGAAAACCAAAAAAATCATTGAGTTTTATTTTAATTACGTTCCTAGATAATATCTGCCTTTACTGTTTTGAACTTCCACTTTTGGCCTACATTTTCTAGCCTCTATTCACCTTTACTAGTAGTACCTAAGTACTTACCTGTATTTCATATAGGAAGGGTACGGTGATCGATTGAACATCTAAATATAAAAATAATAAATCGATTGTGCAAGAAAGTATTGCGCAAATCTATTTAAACCACAACTAAAATATAAAGGTACATTATACAACTAATTATTTAATTTTATAGAATTTTTTGTGTGTTACCAAGACCTATCATGTTGACAAAGTTGCTATAAGTATCTACAATTATATCTTTACAAAGAAGAATGTTTTAAGACGTAATATTTTTTTTACAAATCAATTGTAATCGATTAGATTTATTATTAACAATAAATCGATTATTCCGATATTGTGGCAAGCTCTACTAAAATAACATCAACCATTATAATTATGTGAGAACAACAATGACTCCCTTGTGCAAGTTGGCTCTCTCTAATATATTTTCTTATTTGCTTTTTGGACTAGGATTCTTTATCAACGATAACTGTTGTTAGCTTAGTATTTATAGTACTATAATTTCATTAAGCAGGTTCCGTTAAAATTGGTTCAATATCTTCCACGAATCTTGACTTGAAAACTTGTATTTAAACAGCAAATACGATATATGTCAAGGTCTATATTATGGTATTAACTAAAGCCTTAATAATGTTCAGAAACATTTTGCGGAGAGAAATCAGATCAGCATTGTACTACAGTCCATCGGAATGCTGGTGATATTGGTGATCTTTCATCATCAATTGTACAGTCGCCAATATGTCAACCTACTTCAAATTATCGGTTGGATTTTCAGTCAAAATCATAAAGTTAAAAATCTATTACAGAACCTGGGGTATGTTGACATGCTGAGGGCTGTAAATTATTGTCTACTGGACTACTGGACTTCTGGGTCAGGGAATTTAGTATCTATACAGACGGCTTTGCCTATCTCTGTTCCAACGTCTAAATGGAAAGTTTTAGTCTAAATGAGAGACTGACCATACCATAGTACCTTGCAATGACGCTATAGCGTAAAATTTATGGCATCGTAAGTCACCGTGCCCTTCCTGCGGGAAACAAACTGACATAATTATAATAAATTTTCAAATATTTTTCTTCCTCTAATTACCTTCCATACACCTATAAGAATCTTAACATAGGACAAATTATGAACGTTGCCTTAGAGTTTTTTACTTATAAAATATACTTATGCGCAATAATTAAAAGAAGTTATAAATAAAGCAATGTAAATTATGTATAACCATTGTTAATTTAAATGAATCGATTTTGTTAACTATTGTCATAAACTACGGTTTTAATTATATTTAATAAATTATCAATTAGTGTTTTTATTTCTGATGTTGTGGTTATATCACGTTTCCTGTAGCATAAAGGCTCAAGCCTTATCATACCCCAGCCTTTTCGTACCGAATCTTTTGACTACTTGATCTGATTTATGTCCACTACATGAATAGAGTTTATAATTCACCTTAGTTCCATTTTTTCTCGATGTTCTTCTCATCATTTCCATGCTTCGATTCGCTTCGCTTCTCAAAATTCAAACCCATAATTTCAGGAAGTCATAAACCCACATACGACTGCTTAGAGAACAAAAAAAAACTGTTTTTAGTTAGAGGAAAAACCATTCTAATACGAGTAATTTCAATGGCCTGACTTTAGCAAAATTGGCATTTTGTGGATTATGCATAGGTCTATTACGTAGTCGTGACAGGTGTATGTGTGCCTTACTACTTTTTAGTCAGTGAGCTAGCCTTCACATTACACGAACTAAAGGTCCTATAGAAATGTATAAGTTCTCACTCCTTGACTCATTAAAATCTAACGTTTACTAGATGGCTGCCATTTAAACAGATGAAAACGTATGTTGATCCTAATTTTAATCGCGGCAGAATACTTCAGCCGTAACTCATAGTACGTATCAGCGTTTTCCAGTTATTAATTTCGTAGATGTGGTTTTTGTAAATTCTTCGTGTGGTCGATTCACAAGTCGTGTCCACGGTTTGCATGCCTACAAGTCTACGACATTAATAGCTTGCTACGCGACACGGACTACACGCTACGAACTACGCGCTGAGAACATCGTGCTACGAATTATGTTGGTACCTCGTGCAAGGAAATACAAGCTACGTACTACGCGCTACGTACTTCTTGCTACGAACTTAGAGCTACGTACTATGCGCTCTTTTCATTGTGCTACGAGTTACGTACTAAACGCTAGATAAGTAGGTACATCGTTCTACGAACTGCTACTTGCTACGCGCTACGTACTGCATGCTACGTACTACGACCTACGTAAGTACATCGTTCTACAAACTGCTACTTGCTACGAGCTACGAACTGTGTGCTACGAAACCCGGGTGGTGAGCACAATCGTGTTTGGAAAGGTACTTTGGAAAATAGTTGAAAATAACGGAAAAGGAAAACATCTGGTGAAACTAGAACATCTAGTACAAAATAAATACTAATTTCAAGTTTGCAAAATTACCTTGTGCTGGCTGGTATAATAAACAATACTTTCTCCTGTCTTCATTGCTTACTTAAACTTGAAATCGAGATCATGTCGACTGGCGACATGACATTCGCCTGGAGATCCTCAATGAAAAGAAAACCGCGCTCCGTAAGTACCTAAGTACGGTACATTACATAAATGGTAAATGCAATGCTCAACTACTAATATTGTAATTCTAATTCAATAATTACGTTATCCGTTTAAAAATAGCATTTAAATTAAGCATTTATTTATAAAGAGCCGTGAATCAGATATTTCGACATACTGAACTTTAAAGTTTCACATTTGGTCTAGCATAAAATAATCTTGTTGCATAGAGCTGCAAGGACAACATCACGGTTGTCTAGACTGTAATGTTAGAACCTGGACTGGTTTTGGAATTACCGTTCAAGTTAGGTTGGTACATTATGTAAATGCCTAATTACCAATCCACCAATAGTCGAATCATAATCTGAACACCAACTAAGTGCAAGTCAGACTTAGTACGAACCTAGTTATATGTACAAAAATGGCAATAACATCCTGCCTACTATATGAAACAGAAGTTATTTTTTTAGTTTAGGCCATTCTTTATGTTTAAAGTAAATAGGTACCTATCTAAGTGACTGAGGAGTTGAAGCGTCTATCTAGGTGCCTGCTTCCGTTATTAATATTGAACAAAAACGACCAAGATTAACAAGGATCACGTTCGCGTATCTATTGGAGCTCTATATAGAATTTATTTTATTCTGTTTTAGTGTTATTTTGTTGCGGTAACAAAAGATTATTTCAGCTGTAAGTTTAGACAACATGGTTCTAATGAACCATGTACGTACCTACTGTATCATTAGATACAGTCCAGTCCAAACGTACGCTCATACGGACTGTAGACTCCTATAGGATAATGATAGGGTACCTTTGAGTACAGAAACCTGAAAAGAGGAGGTAAGTGAAGTACTAAGTGCTAACGTAATTTTTTTCTAAATATTAACAAGTCAGTATTGATCATGCTTTACCTTTTCGTTTCAATTGAACGTAGGTTACCTTTAATTTGAACTGTCCAGTTTAAATTAAATGTGTCTACATTAAATGTAGACACATTTAATGTATTTTCTTCACAAAAGCCTTTTCCTATCTTACTGATGTTAATACCCGAAACAGGCAAGTCCTTACAAGATATAAAAAAGGTAAAAAAAATATTAAGCTACGCCCACCAAATTGCTTCACTGTGAGAATCGCCCAGCTTTAAGAAGATTTACCCACTGATTAGTGTCATTGTGCGACTATTGCCACTGGACACACAGTTTTTGGAACACCGTGATACAGTTTCGTTTAAACAAAAAGTAGGTAATTTAGAAATACAATTAGTCTCGCATCAAAGTACATTCTCATGCTATGTGTATTACGAGTGCAAACAGTAACATCGCAATCCACTGGACGTAACCCTTAAATTATTACTGTTACAGCATCGGAAAGTAGGCCGGCAAGGCAATCTCGGAAACCCATAGGCTTCCTTTGTTTTAAATTTTATTGATTTGTACTACATCTTGCAATCACTCATTTGGTTTGTTTTAATATAATTAGTAGGTATATGGTAATAATATCCACTTCTTCTAATAATCTTAAGAAAATATATGCTTAATTGCTTGTCAGTTTTTTTCTAATCTTTTAATAGTCTCAATACAAATCTGGATTACCTACCGACATACAATAAAAAATATAAATACACATTTGTGGTTACATTTCTTAAAAAGTTACTTTCCTGCTGCGACATCGAGTACTCAGGTAGAGACCTCGTGATGTAACGACATTAGCACTAGATGACTAGACCTTACCTAACTTTATCTTCAAGTCCGAGGATAGATCTTGGTTTCATGGTGAACATGTTCGTTTATTGTTATGAACCTGAATAATAGAAATTATTTCCTTCTTAATGTGATTACAGTGGGCTTGTGTTTGGTATAACAACTACTGACCTATAATGGAGAAATAACCTACTCATAACTTAAGTTTCTCTTAAATTGTTTGAAACTAAATGTTAAACAAAGAAAGATCATCCGTAAGACGGTGATGCAAAAGGGAGGTCACAGGACAAAGCACTGAGGAAATAGAAAGAAGGAGGAGGTACTTTCGTCCTAGGATTTTGGAAAAGTATCAACATTACGTTCCTAATAAACAAAATCGTTCTATGAAATTGCCAGCAGCGTTCTAATTAATCTGATCCTTTTAAACTGCTCTGTCAGACCCTCTATCATAGCATGGAGATTATGAGAACCCTCTCTATTGTACAGGAACTACAATCCAGCAGTGGACTTCTCACCTCACGTGCAGTTGATAAAATTAATTCTATAATATAAAATAGAAAAGAGCCATTTTATGAAACACTGAGTAAATAAAACAGAATCGTAATCTCAAGAAAATTAAGTCAATTAAGTAATCCATTCACTCTAGTTTATGTCGCGATAAATATTGTCCTTCGTACGTGTCGACTATAATAATGTTTAACAAGAATACAGGTCAATTCAGACTTGACTTACGGACATTTTCAAATTTGACTGATTTCTTCATAAAGATATATAAGACTTATAACATAATCTCCACACACTTCAAAATTGTAAGACTCATTACGCATCAAACATTTTGGTTCGTCAATTGTTTTACTTTGTGCAGTATCCTATACTCAGAAGTATGTTTTTGGCAGTTATATCATTGAAAGTGTTAAAATAAGCAGTATTTTATATGAAACGACCCATTACATAAATGATAATACATACTTTACATAAAAACGATGTTTAATTGCGTATACTTAGATTAATTAAGATTCCGTACATTAAATTTGTAATGACTAGGTTGTGCTGATTTAGAATTGAGGAATAAAATATGTTTGAAGAATGGCAGATTTTGGTGTATGCCAGTAACATTATTGCACAGTATCTGTAATCATAGTAGAAGACGCGGGTTCCAACGACAGGGTTGGTCATAACGCGTTTGTGCGTCGTCGAGCACGCTGCAGCGGCCCCTGCTGGATTTACTTACGCGCGAAAACGCTTCAACGTAAGTTTTTTTCTTGATTATCTTTATTTATAAAAAGGAAAATAATTGCCAGTGATTTATTTTTATTTTGAAGTATGAATAAATGAACAAACTTATTTATTTTATTTTTTTTTGGCTACTGATAAAAATATCGTGTGAATTATTACAATAACAATATGAAAGTGTTCAATTTCAATTGATAAATTAATAGAAACAATAAAACGTACTGAAAACTTCTATTGTAGGTTTAGAAAAGGTTTACTTACAGTGACTGTTAGCATATCAATTAAAAATAATTACTGATTACAAGTGTCTCACTTACCTACAATCATTTAATAACGATCATAAATATGTTACTACGCACTTAGAAGATACGTACGCACCTTTTTATTAAATGGAAATTTTATTAAAATGTGACAAAAACCATTTTTTTTATTATAGGCTTAAAATTTAAATGTGCTAATACTGCGTGCCAAAGCTAAAGTAGGATTCGCAGTTAATACATACATAATATTATACTAGTACGGTTCGAGCATGTTTCTCTGACTGTAGCTTAGTTTCCTCATCATCTATAGCCTTTGACAGTCTTCTGTTGGACTATGAGCCAGCTCTACATAAAAGGGGTTTGTCAGAAGCACTACGCTTAAAACTAAAGTACCTATCAAGTTTCAAGCATGTAAAATTGAAATTTTACGAAAAACTTTAAAAGATTCAAAATGACTGACGTTCTTATCGAGATACGTTTGAGAATGGCCTAGATCTTCAATCAATACGAGAAAAGCCCACTACTCAAAACAAATGTTTGCATAAAACACTAACTTAGGCAATAAACTTTTGGTGGTTCAAGGTACTTATCGGTTGGTCACATAATTATGTAAACACATTCGAAGTAAAGCGGGTCAAAAGTGAGAAAGAGCTTCTTTTCTTTGCACATTTCTCGATATCAATATTAATATGGTTGACAGTATTGCGGTTGTTCAAAAACTATTGCTTAATTCACAAGGCTATGCACCTTCCTTGTTTCGACACTATCAAGTTTTTTCAAAAAATTGTTCATAGGTGCATGAACAATTTGTTGTGCTGGATTTTAACCCGTTTATTTCTGCGGGGGCCAGAAAGATCCGCGTTACAAAACCATAACTTGAATCGTTGTTAATATACATATAAAGGTAAATATACATGTACTTAGGTTCTTCACTAAGTTTACTTGCATATTAACATGTACCTAACTCTCAATACCCAGGCCTGGTTGGTCTAACAATTAGTAAATAAGTTTAAACATCAGTAAATACCCGACAAATACTTATAAAGTCCACACGGAAAGACAAACATATTTAAATCAATATATTATGTTTTGCTAGCTAACATTTTGTGCAAAGAAATACGTTTTATAGGCATAGTATAACATTTTTTTTTATTAGACAAGCTCTGTGGCTAAGTGCGAATGTAATAATTTTACACTTGAGCATTATTCCTTTTGTTTTAGAGTGAATAAACAAACTAGAGGTAAATTAGAATCAATTCAGAATGATTTTGCAACTGATATTTGAAAAACAATAATATATTTAAACAATCTACCCAATCACCTATTAGTTAAAAATAATCTTTAAAAACCTTGAAAAAGTAAAATGGCTTGAATAAAACAGTATAATATCTATTACCAATCTCTAAATGAGTTGCGTTGATTTATCGTTTATGTAGATTAGCGAGGCAGCGCAGCGAGGTGCACATTAATCAACATGCTAACTTTACTCTGCCATGGATTATGACATAGTTTTTTAACAATGACCCAAATATTTATCTCGACTCAGACGATAGTTATACCATACGAGGTACAACGTAATCAAAACGCCTTCGGTCCATAAATGCTGGACAGCCTTGCGCATCGCATCTGTAATTACATGTAATTATACAATTCGATGAAGTAAAAGTTTGCCAATAAAACACTTGATAACCACTTTTTATTTAAAGCTGAAAAAAATATTGTTTGTTGTAACACTTAAAACTTGCTAAAATCTTAACGAGATAGCAAAGTAATAAAAACATTATAACGTGTTGTTTGACAAAAAACATAATATGTAAAAGCAGAGAGTGATAATTAGATAAGTACATATGATTTAGTGAGTACCAACAATGTCGGTGTCCCAAATGTTGCAATTTTGGATACATATAGGTACATTACGAAAATACGTTTATGTTTATTACATAATTTTAAACGAGGTCTACTAGCGTGACTCCGTAACATGCATGAATCAACAGCGCCCGCGCCGATTTGTAGTGTCGCCGCCCGCGCCCGCCCCCGCCCGTCACTCGAGATCAGACGAGAGCCCATAGCGCAGACTGGCAATCCAACTTGTTTGAATATTCATGTTAGTAGGTACCCAAATATCACGGTCACTCTACACTTCTATAGTCACGATTTTAAATATTTCGAACGTTTATTCGAAATACATACCATTAAATTCTACGTGCCCGTTGATTTACAAGACGCAAGCGAAGGGATTTAGGTATAGTAGACGCTAAGTTAGCAAAGTTACAAAGATAATAAGCACAATAAGATATCAGAAAAATGTTGTTTTATATTTTTGTGTATTTAGAATAAATAGGTAACCAGACATAATTGCTTCGGTGAGTACATGAAAAGGCTTGGGCGAGAGGCCACAGCAAATTACCACCACTGCGGACGTGTCCTGGATTCCGCACAGCTTACGCTCGAACAATGGTGCTTGCATGGGCCTCTGAATGGTGGATCCTAGTTCTCAGGATCGATCCAGACCTTTGTCTGCTAGCAATAGTTAAAGCTATGCTGGCATATACAGAAAATTGGAGAGAAGTGATCTCCTTTTGTGAGACGGCAACATCACAAAAATAGACTGCTTAGCGGGTTTGTCAGAGGGCCGATTCTATTCGTAGAAGGCGCGGTGGCAACCGTATATTGGCACCAAACCCTAATTTACATTCCACAAGTTTTTCTCCCCAAAAAAGCCAGGCACCATTTTAAGGTTTCCTTCAATAAAAAATAGGTAGATAATACACAAGTAAACAAATAAAGTAAAAAGTACCTAAAGTTCTACCCCGTCGTAACATTCAAACTTTAACAATATAAAAAGAAAAAACAATAACAACATAAAAACTGACAAAGACACGCTCCGTAGACATTCGCGATTAATTACATAATTATTCTAACAATAGCTATACAGGTTCTACGGATCATAACTGTTAAAATTATTAACGCAATGTAATCTATAGAAAATGCTAAGCAAACTCATTAATAGGATGTTTAATATCATTCGGTTACCGTAGCGGCGCAGAACGGGTTTACTTCCTAGAAGATTTTTCAAGGTTTCAAATTCAAATTCAAATTCCAAAAAAAAGGTTTTATTATATGATTTATAGTATTATTATGTTCATGTAGGTTCATAAATGTTATTTAAGGCGACATACAGAATGACGAACACTAATTAACTAATACCTTATAAAGTAACACCTTCTAGAACTTTAGCGAGGTCTATGACCGTATTTTGATTCAGGAAACTAATTTTATGCATTCATATTTAGTCAATAAAATATGCAGGCTTTGTTTATTTGTCCTAACGTCAAGGTTCGGTAACTTATTTAAGTAATTTCAATACATTTGCTTACATAATAGATACTTAAACATTATGGAATAGCTGATGAGATCCTATTAATACGCTGTCCGAAAAAAGTTTCGCAAAATTCATGTAAATTATTTGTAACCAATTTTCAATTCAAAATTGCATGAATTTTCAATGAGAACATTGAAAATCATTGGCCACTCTTTTTTGAAAGTGAGTTATGTTATACTTAACTATTTCGTTAATTTCGGAAGGAATGAGACTAATGGGGCAGTCGACAGATACGATCTTTTACTTAATAGATATGTCCCTACAAATAGAACATTTTTTCTACCCTATTTAATTCATCATTCTGTTATCATTCTGTCTCCTGCAGTAATTCACTGAGGGAAGTGGAAACTATAGTTTTCTTCTTCTCCTCTTATAATATCTTCTGATTCACTTCGTTACGGGAACCAAGACAGTTACTCATGTCCCTGATGTCCCTGGGACGCGCCGGACTTCAGTGTTCCGGTGTTTTCATTATTGTATCTACTGTAGATCCTGGCTTACAGGAGTTGCAGCGGTTTTGGGAGGTCGTGGCGGGCTTGTCCCATTGCCCTTTTTAATCAACCTTCTTATTAAATTCAGATTGTTTCCGTCGTTCATCTTCGTGACATGTCGAAAGGACAATGTTCTTCTATTACATGAAGTATGTAACTCGATAAGAACTTCAGTGGGGCGTGCAAACCGTGTGGTTTGCCTACTTTATAAATATCAATATTTCCTATACATATAGGTCGGTACCTGTTTGCAATAGGCGCGTGTACTTTAATACAAGGTTAGTTGTTAAACCAGTTTTATAAGGTGCTTACGTAGGTCGGTAAATCCGTACTATAATAGTATTTATAAGAGAGCTTGTTTGTTTTTATTTTTTCTTCGAAGTCACTGTCTGGGATTTTACCGTTTATTTTTTGTGTTTGGTGCGTAGCTTGGAGGCTGGAGATGACTCCTCCAGAATACGAGTTTCTTTACACCACGCGGAAAAAGTTGCGGATTCTTTTATGAAATTACTGTTTTGTTTGATGGAGTTGGGTGACATTAAACTGTAAAACACCGCGAGGACACCGGTGACCATAACCTGTCGTTCTTTAATTGTGTCTATAATGACGGTACTCAACGAGTTAATAAGAGAGACTACTTTGTTACTAGCCTAAATACAAAACTTATGTCCTTATTCTATTGTAACAAACAGAAGTACATCAGAGCGTAACCTATGTATCTATTCTTTGACTTCACCACATTCAAGTATCTGATCGTAAAAGCCCGTTGGTAAGTTTTAAAACTTTGACTGAATGTAACATTTAAGTTAAGTAGAACAGTTGAGCACCACTAGTGATACAGGTGTCGTTTTAAACCGACACCTGCTTTTGTAGTAAAGGTTTAGTTTGCCGGGTACTTATAATTACTTTGATCCATCGAACAATTTTCTAAGACATATTAATTGTTTCCCGGACCGATTTTGAAGAAACTTAATTATTATTGCCTCTTTGCGAACAATTAGATGAAATTAAAAAATGGAAACATTTACGCTCGTAGTTAGGTCTGACTTAAGTTATAACAACTTATTCAAGCAAAAACTAATTGGCGAAAAGTAGACACTAACTGTATATCGTTAGCTTAACACCCTCAAGAAAAGAATGTATGGAATCTTTTATAAGAGGCTGCTAACATACATCGTTCTAAACCCTCTGGTTATCACTTACCATCAGGTGATCCATCTACTCGTGCACCCCTTATCCCGAAAGAAGGATAACAAAAACTATACTTCCCATTATAACCATAATATTATAACTGCAATTATAACTATAATTATCTTGTAATTGTAGAACCAGATACTTAATTAGTATCACGTTTCTTACCTAATGATTTCTCGGTTAAAATGCGTTCTGCGTCAGTCGTCAAAGATTTTTCCCTTATTGATTTTTAATAACAAAAACGGATATGATCAGCATGGATTTTCACTGTGTCAACATGATTATTCATAGTACCTAGGTAATTATAGTTTATAGGTATAACATGTTAGATTGACTGAGGAAAATATCAGATTAACTAGGCTAGGTACTTTGTCATGAAAATGCTGACTGATTTCTCTGATTTCTGTATTATAATAGTTACGTCTTATGTACAGACAGATTTAAGAATGCTTAATAGCATAGCGAACGTTTTAGGTATTTTGTAAGACAAATGACGAGAACTAAAGCTATGAAAGTGCGTGTGGATTGAATAAAGTATTTACTTGTTGCAGAAAGTTTTAATTCGGGTACCAGATAATAGGATGGTTGTCAGTCAGCAAGACTGTAACCTTTGACTCCTCCTGTGTCCTACATAGGCAAATAGGCCCCAAGACGTCTTATTAACTAATCGTTCAAAATATAGGGAGAATTTTAAGTGTCGATAGCATTGCGGCTATTAGGCATAAGAGGCATAATGTAGTAACTGTAACACTTAATTATACGTACTATATTATGGCCTTGATTGTTGTTTAGATAAGTTACAGTCGTAAAATGATGTAAGTGGGACGTATTTCCGATCCAGATTTGATCAGTAACCATTTTTAGATAATCTTCGCAGTCGAGGCCGTTTAGATTTCTAATGCGATTTTTAGTTTTTGAGTAGGTATCCGGGTGAGAAATGTATCTTAAAAAACATTAGGTATGTACGAATTTAGTGCTTAATTACATCATTAGAATACCTAATTGTAGTCAGTTACCTAATATGTAGTCGAAAAAAGTCTACTATATAACACGCTTTAATTTTTGAAATGGTTAGGCTGACGTAAGTGGGTATACAGTTATTTAAAGGCCAATTTGATGAATAACAATAATTATTTCATTTTTACACGGAATTAGTTTACGGTTGACCTCAGTCTCACCTGATGATAAATGACGAAGAGGTCGAGGGTGCAACACTAATGAAACCTTATTATAAGATATGAATTAATTATATTTTACCTGAGATATGCCTATTCACTATTACCTTGGAGACACGTCAAACGATTCTGAGAATATTGAGTAGATTCCTACTTCCTAATGTTTCAACTTCCACTCCTTTATTAAAATAAGGCGATGAGATCAACATTACTTCATCTTCGAGGTTATAAGCTTTGATCAATAGGAAAATGTTTAGATTGAACTATAAAAATTAAAAAATATGTCTTCTTTTCTGTTGTTAGTGGTCATGCTTAGGCGACAGCGACAGTACTTATTTGAATTACCTCAATACAGGTGTACACGACCTGTCTCATAATTTTTTGCAGCTCATGTTTATTTGTAGATTATTTGGCGCAGTCTGTGACACGGTTTTCCGAATAGAAAATATATCAGGACTAACTTCTGACCACAACTGCTTTGCTAGGCCATCACCATCAGTTGTTAAATCCTCTTATGTCATTTTCTGCCAGGCAGCTACGGTTTTATAATATTTCATTTACACAGAAGAATAACGCTTATTAACAACAATTTGTCATTTTGAGTCTGGGTGTGATGAGTCGCATGGGTCCTTTCCTGTTCTATGTGCATTAAAAACATTATTCAAGATGCGAGATAATTTTTGATCACAAGATAAATAATACAATTAGCATTGTCTGTAGTTGTGTACTTTATGATATTTGTCCAAATTATTACGTTGCAATTTCTAAAGCTATGCGTGCTGATGTCCGCTTGCAAAAAGTTGCTAATGATTTAGTCACATTTATCCATCGTGTCTACCGCAAGTAGATGGTTTATAGATTCACCTTGTTCGTATGAACTTTTTATGTATTCCTGAATAAAGTATGCATTGTTCATTAAATCATATTATATATTTGTTAACCCAGGTAAAAACTTGATGTACCCTCGACTTCATACGGGCAACCCCGTTGTTCCCTTTCCAGTTGTAGAAAAAAATTAGACTTTTTTTTTGACATAAAATCGTTGTCCTGACAATAAGGAATACACATTATAGAATCATCTAATTTGGTAGAGTAGTTCTGAAGTTCTGTGCGTAAATACATTTCGGTAATTCATTTTTATCAATATAGATGAAATTGTTTTGATGAGACTTTGATAATAACAAGTCGGTTAAAAGTGGGTGTCCTAGTAGACATCACATTGCTACCTGAAACACTGTTCCTAATAATTATACCAGTAGTTCATACTGTAATATTAGAGCCGAAACCATGTAAAATTGTAAACAATAAACTTTTTTCTAGATATATTATATTTTACATATAAAGTTATTGTTTTCATATTTAACAAATGTGACCATCATAATGCCAGTCTCTTGGTTCGATCCCTGAGGCAGAAAAAATGTAGTTTGGGGTTATCCAAATTTTGAAATTATATGCTACATGAAACTCGTAATATAACTAGCGATAAGTTATAAATGTTAAGTAAATTAAGAAAAATCGCGGGTTATTCACGTGAATATACCGAGAAAAGCTCTACTAGTTTCGAACCACAGAGGGGTTCTTCCTCATGAGCAGCGTGCGCGGTTGCGGCGACGTCGCGCAGCTCACATAAATGTTAATAAGCTAGAAGAATACTTTAATGAAGTAAAAGAATACCTTAAACTTTTGAATTCACCAATATGAGACATAATAGAAGAAAAGAAAATACATTGTCTCGCGCGGATCCACGTTTAGACACACGAAAGGTTAATTAGGTAAATTTTACATTTTTTTTTTTTTCTTTTTTCAGAATTTCCTGCTAGAAAGACACCCTTTGATCATCAATAGGAGTTTAGCAGCTGTGGTAAAGTAAGTTATATTTATAAACATTCATAACACCTTTCTACAAATATTAGGATACCTATTCAGTTAAGTCACATAATTATATCTACATGTTGTAATAAGCTATGTGATAACTATTTAGTATTCTATTCTGTCGTGATACTATTTATGAAGTAAAAACTTGTCCAGCCGTTTTCGAGATTGTTCTGCATAAACAACATATAATTAGCAGTTCTTTCTTAGTAATATTTTTACATGAATTATGAAGGGTCTATTGCCGTACATCGACCACATTATTATAGGAATTAAGTGTCTTTACAAGGATATTTTTACTAAATCTACTGAACTGTTACTCCTCTGGTGTTGCGGGTGTCTATGGACAGCGCTGATTGCTTACCATGAGATGATACGCTCGTTTGCCTCCAATTCCATAAAAAAGTACTTTACCATTGGATCCATAACCTATATAATTGAATTGAACATTGTCGAAGTGTCTCCGTTCTTTGATGATGAAAATATTTTTTTTTACAAAGCTTATGCTGCGCAGTTTTACACACTGTTCCTATAAATCGTAGCATGACGATTTATAACCTAGTCGTCCTCGATAAATGGTCGATTCAAGACAAAAATAATTATTCAAATAAAACAGTAGTTCCAGAGGTTAGCGCGCTCAAACAACCGAACTGTTCAACTTTATACATATATGTAGGTACTTGCTCGTCGCCTATTGATTAGCGTAATGGTTTATAGCCTTTCTTTATAAATGGACTACCGAGTACATTTTCACAAACCACCCCGGTGGCCACCCTCAACGCCTGTATAGAGGCACCGGGTCCTCTAAAAGAGACCTGCTCCGGAGCTTCCACGGTTTTTCAAATCGAACTAGTAGTTATAGAGGTTAGGTTAGCATTCACACAAACAAACTCTTCAGTTTTATATCATATGGTACATACCTATATATAAGATTAGCACAGACATAGATAAAATAAAATATAAGTATTATTATCCAAAATGAAAATTTAGGGTCACTTCCCACTAATTGACCTCTAGTTCAATATTTTATATGTATATGATCCAACGGATCCAATATTACCACAGCTTAAAAAAAGTTTATACTTTGGTTTACATTATACATATTTCGTGGAACTAGATCTGATTCATTAACATATTTTTGAAAGTAGAATATTATCAAAAATTGTCATTAGATCAAGTTTATTAAGAAACGAAACGAATCTACTAACAGAAAATAGAATGATCAAATTCAAATTTCGAATTACCAAGGGCTGATATTTCAATACTTAGTTAAATTTTATAAAAGGAATAACTTTGATTATTTGATAATTCTTCCATACGTACTAAAAGCTGTCAACTGTCAATTTTTATTCCACAATTAAGATTTATCTGTTGATTGAAAAATCAGCCTTTAAACTATTTTACCTAAGAAAACGGTAACTAATTGATAACAAGTAAACTTCAATACTTTTAACGAAATATCAAAAAGGTTAATTTTCTATATATTTTACATAAAATCGCAACTAATGGCGTCATCAGAATTGCGTCAAAAACATACTTATTTCCTTAAAAAAAGCTAGCGAATTCGAATATAATCAAATATCGTCAAATCAATAAATGAAAGTATTTAAATAGTTCTTTTTAATATTTTATTGTATGATATGAAAAGACCTAAATTATAATAAAAAGAACCTAATTGAACCCGAGAGCTCTTAATGTAGCAGACACTATTTTTAGAACATGTTGTAAATAATTAAGGAAGGTCAGTCGAACGAGTTAATAGAAAAGTCAGTGTATGGGATTGACACTGACATTCGCCTAACTATGTCAAAACTTATGTCATTCTTTTCATCATAACCAAAAATATATAATGATGTTCGGCAAACCAAATTAAAAAATAAACGTAACGCAGAATAAAGTTCACCGACCAAAATTTTCGCTATCTCATCTCGATACATATGCACATACATTATGTATTAATTTCATCACATTTTCTACATCAACAAGCGTAGATAATATTGAATAAATAAATAAAAAGATTGTGTTTATGAACTAACAAAAGTATTTAGCAACTTTATGCAAAATAAGTTACACAAGTTTGTAATTAAAGTCAAATAGACAACATGAATTAATTATACATATGTAATGTACATTTATAACAAAGTACTTACTTTAATTGAGTTTCTTTAAGAGTAAACTAGGCCTATAGTAATTGCAACCAGAATGGGGTCAAAATTAACGCTATGTTTCAATCGTTATTTAAAACTACTGACTTAACTGTTAGTTAATCGTAATCATACATACATACATAATATCACGCCTTTTATCTCCGAAGGGGTAGGCAGAGGTGCACATTATACCACCGTACAATGTAACACCTACTTTTCACTATTTACGTTATGAGTCCCATGTAATAGGGGGTGAGCCTATTGCCATATACCGGGCACAATTCCAGACTCCGTGCTGCTACTGAGAATTTTTTTAAAAACCCATTAATACTTTGCCCGACCCGGGAATCGAACCCGAGACCCTTAATCGTAATCGATAAGAAAAAAATGCGTGAAACGCGCTTATCTCATTCAGCTATTGACGCTACGTAAGTATAAGTCCTAGGTCTGTATCTGAACTGAAATCCATATTCATTAATGCCCCCTAATGTGCTATAAATGCGAAAGATTGTGAGAATGTATGTGTGTTTGTTACCGTTTCACTTAAAAACTACTGATTGGATTTTGATGTAATTTAGAACATAGGTAGATTATGGGTTGGAATAACAAGAGCCGCGGGCAGAACCTAGTTGTGATATAATTTCCAAGCCGTGTTTGTTTACTTGTCTATGTTATCTTTCATTTTGGAAAACCTCTTCATCACATTGGAAAGAGTATTTTCCCGTCTCATCTCGTAGTCCTTTTAAAAGGCTTTTTAACACTCTTAAGCATAGATACTGAATACCAAAACTCAAGGAGGGTTATGCTAAATACATTCGAGGAAAGAGTGGAAGTCGTGGAGGCCCGAAGGTTAAGATGCGAAATCTACCAACGGCAAGTACCAATGTGACTTTTTCAGAGTTATATATGTACTTTTTAAGATTATTTAGACACCACTGACAAACGATGATGGAAAACATCGTGAGGAAAGCTGGACATTTATAGCCTGTTGATGGTGATGATGAAGAGTCTGGAAATATGAGGACAAAGAGAGACAGGATTTTTTTAAGGGGTGAAAATCATCGAATGTCTGCTCCCACCTGGGTGAGGCGGGAGAGAGTGTCAGACTCTTACTGACTAAAAACCACTCCGTTCCTTCTCCTGCACATCGAGCCGGAGCCCCGGTTACCCGTTCTCCGCGACAGAGAGACAGGATAAGGATAAAGAATGGTATTGTGTCTACTTCTTTCTTTTGACCAGGCGTCTACGTCACGGATGAAAATCTAGCATAATTGTTATTTGTAATACTCATGTTTATGATACTGGTACTTCCCCAAATGCGGTAGGTAAGTAGGAACATAATTCATTGTTAACCTTGGTCAATAATGGAACTACTCTAGTTTTGTTTTTTTTTTGAGGCGTATTTTACTAAAAATCCATTCCTTAGCTGCAAATCCACGAATTTTATTTCATATAGTGTTAAGGCAAGGAGTACTTAAAATAAATAATAGATAATAATTATTAATTAACTGATCATAATAATTTTATTACTTGTTTGTTAATTTAAATAAATTTTATTAAGATCATCTTGCAGTTCATGGACATTGAAGTTTAATTCGATTCTAATATTATAAAGAGGAAATATTTGTGTTTTTGTAAGTATTGATGTTTGTTTGTTTTCGCATAAAATGTACCTACCTTCTTAGAGTAGGTACCCAGTGGATGCTTTAAGAACTGGATCGATTACACCGACTTCTGACAGAAATCTACAGTTTTAATGAACCGCATTAACGTGTTAAAAAAATCGGGATGTTACTAATCCGTTAATAAATATGTTAAATATAAGAGATTAAACAGAAACGTCTGGACGCGAAGATAACGTCACTGCAGCAGATGCTGAAAAAATTCAAACATAGATACTATAAAACAATTCACACCTAAACATATTGCCAGACACAATTGACGACGTCTGTTCACGAACTTGACATTTACCTATCAAACGAACCGCGATGACATGACATGACCCATGTAACCGTCATAGAGGCCATTGTGAATGATTATTACCAATTGATATCTAATCTCTTCTCAACAAACACGTCAAAGACAAGTTCCACTGACCACATTTGACAGGTTCCGTATCCAACTGGTTACAGATAACTCACATTCGGAATAATAAGGGTCGATTTTTCAATCCATATTTTAGGGAACAGAGAGTATACCTATACTCTATAGTTCCCTCAGATCGGAAAAGGAGGATCCTTCGACCAGGCGAGGTGATCGTGTCTGGCGGGCTTTCTGCCCAACAGTTGTTCGTTGGGATTTTCTATCCGTGTTAATTTGCATGTAAACTTTGCATGCGCGATGTAGGATTTTTGTGACGTCATCCGTTGACATGTACCATATGTCGCCACAATATGAATATAAATGTGTTTCTGTTTATTAGTCTCGCTAAAACTTGAGAACGGCTGAGCCGATTTGACTAATTTTGGTCTTGACATGTTCGTAGAAGTCCAGGGAAGGTTTAAATGATGACAATTTATTTTAAGCGAATCGAAGTTTGACGGGTCATCGCAGATAATTCATAACTGGGGAATAAAGTTGACATTTGGCAGTTTTCAGCATGGAAGAATTGTCAAATGTTCAAAGTTATTCGTCAGTGAAAATGTAACCCTTTAACAATCTTAAATAGTCTTGTTCGAGATACATCTTTGCATAACTTTAGGACAAGGTGTGAACTATAAACGGTATGCAACAACTTAACTGGCGGTGGAAAATCGGCCCTAATTAGGTACTTTAAGAAACTGAGGATGTCAAAAATATCAAGTGACTGAAAAAGTGAAATAGAATCCACCTTATAAATCATAGTAT